TATGTACTTCTCATATATTTAGAACACTTTATTTGCAGTTTGTTCGGTTTCTGCTGCTCGCCTTTGTTCTTGTTATTGCCTTTTGCAGCTTGCACTTGTGAAAAAGATGAAGAACAGAACAGCGGTAAATCTAAAAAAGAGGATACGGTAGAAAAATGGCGAGCCAGATGATCACCTGAAATTTGAAGCTAACTTTTTTCAATATATGTACATAATATCACTAAAACATGCCAGGCATGTATAGGAACCCCATAATTTTGATTATTTTGATTGTTAGTTATTAAAATTTGTATATCTATTTAATGTTGTAAAACAAAAAGGAAAAAAAATAAAAGAAATAAATGTCTATTTACTCTGTTTTCCTTTCTTTATCAAGGGGTAACATCATTAAAAATTAAAAAAGTTTTCATTTGTAAAAATCAAAACTTTAACTGCAGATTTATTTTGCTTTACAAATAAGCAGAAATTAGTATTGATTAAAATTTGAGCATATGTATATATACAAACATATACATATAACTATACAGTCGTTTATTGTCAGATTTTAAAAAGAAATTTATAGACAATTTTTTTTTAATTTGTTTATACTCTTATTCGTAATTTAATTTCAGTGCCCCATAATTTGCATGGTAACTTCTTTTTTCACAAGGCATACTATTGGAGGTCCTTACAGTCTAGACTGAACCACCCCTCAGCCCTTTCACCTCCTTCAACCCCTTTCCCTAAAGTCGTGCTCGCTCTCTCTTTCTGTCCCCCCCATCGTTCCCTTTCTCTTTCTCCCTGTGCTTTGCATGTTCCGCTGCTTTCTTCTTTTGTAATTTTTTTTTTTGGCAATGCCAATCGCAAAATTGTATTTAGGTCAATTATAAATATTAAACGCAATTAGCAATGAAATTTTCAATTTCATTATCACCAAAGCTGCCGTCGCTGCCGACGTTTGCGCAAAAAAAGAATGAAATACAAAAAAATTAAAAAAAATTCGTTGAAAATGCCGACTGATAAGAAATAAAGTAGAAGTAAACTATAGCATAGTATTTTTTGGGAGGGGTTGTTGGTGGGCTTGGGTTTCTTTCGACGCAAAGTCTTCGTCATCAGAGCGCTGGTTCCGCAATGTCAAGACTATTGTGACCTTATTTTTTGACAAATATGTACGCACGTTTACAGTTATGGATCGAGACCCGAACTTGCCGTTATTTGGCAAATTAATAGTGCGTTTTTTTAGCAACAAAAAATAATATTTTTTGAACAGAAATTTAATTAAAAGCAGTTTATAATATCAAAAAGACTCGAAAACCTTGTTACACCACTAGGAACCCATGGTCAGTATCAACAGAAATCATTATAAATGTCAGTGAAGTGCAGAAATGGGAGAAATCCGTTTTGAGGAAGTTGATAGTATTTATTTAGTAAGACCAAATAAAAGGCAAGACCGCAACGGATATTTTCATTTCCCGAGTTAATAGAGGAAATGCCTGACCATATTTCAGTTTGCTTATTTGATTCGGTGCAAATGCAATTGTGTTATTCGAAAAGTCCTTGACAAATGCCAAGCGATGACCAGGGATTGCCAGCACTCACACACACTCACGAAAACCCCGTAAGCCCCATGAGCAACCCCCAATAACAAACTGCAATGAACCCCAACCGCTTCCACATGTTCACTCTGTCTCTCTCTCCTTTTCAGCACGTTCTTTGACTCGAAATGACCTTAAACTGGGTTAAAGCTCGCCAAAGCTACCTCGAAAGGGGCGGTTTGGGGGGCTGGCTGCAAATTGAACTTTCTGTGCAACAGAGCATAGCCAGTGAAAAAGAGAGAGGGCACTTTATATCACAAAAAGAGAGCGGAAGAGAAGCGGTTTGTTTGCCTAAATGCAACTCATGAATCATTCACACGCATCTATGAATATGCAAAAGTGAACCGCTTTGAATGCACAATGAATATGCACACATATACACTCACTAAAAACCACTATACTTCAACAGCAGTGCAGTCACAAATTTGCTTATGAAAACACAAAAGACGGACACCTAAAGGCATGCCAGAAACAATTTTACAATTTTTTGCTATGAAAATTAGAATTTTCAGGCGTTTTATATTGTAAGAATAAAGGCTTTAAAAAACTGCTTCTTAAATAAATGATATTTAAAATTAAAATAGATTTAAAATATTTACATGCTAGCATTTTATTTTATTTAGATCTATTACTTAAATGTTGAATATCTGCAAAACCAACACTGCGTATTAGTAATAAACTTTAAATGCTTTTCAAACCCAATTTTTAGACCGCTAAGAGTAAAAATAATTTAAAATATCATAGTATTTTAACTTGTTTGTATCTAACTATTAATTTTGGGGAAATCTTAATACAGAAACTAAAGATATAAATTTAAGTCTTTGCCTATTTTATGAAAAGCATGAAAAACCCCAAAGAGATTTACTGGAATGTATCTTTCGAAACTAAGCATAACCCTAAAAAGCTGTTATACCGGCCGAAAACCCTTGAAAAGGTTGAAAGCCCCAAAAGAGACCCATTTCAATGTTAGTTTTAAACAAAACCTTAACCAAAGGTTTTTATTTATTTGCATTCGCACATAAATACAGTTACCAGCTGGCAGCTCTTCTAATTGCCTTGCATGTAATTCATTTTCTATTTGTGAAGAGAAAGTAAAAACAAAAAAAAAACTCATACACGTACACACTCATGCTCATCACTCAGTCACAGAAACAAACTCACACCCGTGCATCAATACATTTTATTGCTCATCAAAAATATCAAAAAAAAAGTTAGTTTTCTATTGTTGTTTTCCCCTTCTTTTCTTTTATAATTTTTTTGGTGTAGGCGTTAAGCTGGCGACGGAGTCAAAAAGAGAAAGAGATTACTTTTAAGCTTGGCTTGAGTAGTAAAAAAAATCAAAACGAAAAAGAGCTATAGAGCAGAACATTTGAGAGAGCGCACTAAAGGTGAATGACTTTGGGTAAAAAAAAAAGTTGCGCAGTCAGCTCATTTTCTATTTCTTTTTATCCCCCTTTGTAGCGCCCCTCTGTTTCATTTAGTTTATTCTCTCTCTCTCTCTCTCTCTCTCTCTCTCTCTCTCTCTCTCTCTCTCTCTCTCTCTCTCTCTCCTTCTCTCGATAACAAAAATGCAGGGCATTAGTTCTGTTTTCATAGTGTTTTTTTTTATGTTTTTCATGTACAGTGAATGCTCGTTGGAATGAACACTAATGATGGTATCTGAGACTATTGGATTAAAACAGATTTAAACTTTTCGAAAGCTAAACTGGTAGCTCAATTAAAAATGTGAACAGATTTTTTACTCTGCATACGTATTTTATGCTTACGGCCAAAGTGCTGGCAAAATACTTACTTTCAACTCAGAAAGTAGCATTTAATCGTTGAAAGACAATTAATCTAAAATCAATTTATTGAAGAAACACACCAAAGTTAGTTAATTGCGTGGTGTTGAGCTCGAATCTTTCGTAAGAAAGTTCATCGTTTGCAAAGCTCTTATAAGTATGCAACTTTCTTTTGGTACGCAATATGATACAATTAGTTAAAACCTAAGCCGACTTGTGTCTGTTATATTCCTTCTCAGAGCGACCACTGTAATTTGGCTGTCAGAAAACGAAACGAAACGAAACGAAAACTTTCAACATGCAGAACCAGGAGAGCGAGCTTTTCAACGACTTCGGCAAACGGCAATGACAGTGTAGCCGTGCCTCGTACATTACATTCTGCCGCTGCCTTAGTAGGTCAACAAAATTCCGGACAATGGCCTTTCGCTTTCGTCGGCGGCCGCCCCACTATGGGGCAAACGACCACTTTTTGTGGCATTAAGTATTAATATCCCTAAAACGGAGATACAATTAAGGGGTTTTTTTTTTGACAACGAAACCGTGTTTTACATTTTTTCTCATTATAATTGTAATACAAATAATAGAAGTTGTTTAAGGCAGTAATTTGAAATATTATTAAAAAAATATATATTTTATTAAAATATTTTTATTTTTAATATAAGGTTATAAAAACCATTTTGTCCAAATTTTTGAAACTTTAGGGAAAAAATCGAATCGAAAATACTCAAATAGTTCTCAGTATTTCAGTAATTGCAAGTCGAAATAAATTTAATCAGCACAATTGTACAAACTTGTTATTTTAAGTCCTATTTATTCAAATTAAATAAAGTAAAAATTCCTAAATTATTTCGACTTCAGAAAAATTAATCAAAAACATCTCCAAGTCAAGCAAAGGTATCATATTAAGCTTTTTAATAATTAAAAAATAACGGTTTTTGGCCAGAAATTGGTTTGTTTTCCCATAGTGCGTTGACATCGGCGGCGGCAGCGCTGCAGCTGGCAGAGCCTCCAAATGTAAATAGAAGCTACGGCAAACACTAGACGATGGCGCCCACCACCCAACCCCCCTTTCTACCCACTCCCCTACCCACCACATACCTCCCGTTGCCCCCCATTCAATATGGCGACAGCGACGCGACGATGAACATGAAGATATTTCAGTCGCCGCCGTCGCTGAAGTTGTTGCTATTTGTTGTTGCAGTTGTTGTTGCTTTCGATGGCGTAATAGGCACATGCAGATCCCGACAGTTGTATATGTATGTATGTGTGTGTGTTTTAATTAAAGGGCATTTAGTCAAAATTTCCAAACTGGAACTTTCCCAAGTCCAAGTAAGTTGAGACACTAGATGTATGTATATTAAATTATTGTATTTCTTGGGAGAGTCTATATGATTTCAAAATTAATATAATATACAAAAAAAATCAAACTCGAAAAATTAATTTGATAAAAGATTATATTGTTCTTAGCTTTAAACTCCGATAATCGAAAACCCAATCCAATTTGAGCACTACTAAATTAAAACAGCTGTCTTCTGCCCTTTAGGTAAATGCCAAAAAACGAATCACTATAGCCATGTTAATAGAATTTGGCCACAATCCAATCCGTCTAGTTAGCCATGAGTTTAGTTTGGCCTTAGTGTCACTGTCCGACACATACTTCAGTTCAGTTGGAACCAACATCCGATATACCCAGACCTCGATCTCTCTCTCTCCAGAAAATAAAAACAGTAAAAAAGGATAATTCCCAGCCGAACCGAAAAGCACAGAACGGAAACCCCTCAGGTATGTGTGTTATGTAGGTTAAAGGGCAGCGTTCGTTGCACTCGCAAACTGAAGGACAGCAGCCCCTAGTGGGTGGTGCAGTGGGTGGTATTGCCGGGTGTGGGGTGGCCTTACATAAAAGTTGAGTGCGGAAAAGGGATGCGAAATGACGTCCCCGCGAAGTCACGGACTTTGGAGTGTGCTTGAAGGGGCGGCGACAGGGAGCACCACACACTGGGGTGCACTTCCCACCCACCCCTTGGAGTCTAGCCCCCTAACATTGCATATTTATGAGGCTACACGGAAAGAGAAAAAAAACAGACAGGAAAGTCAATTCGTATGTTTGATATTGTGAAAAATTTAACTATTATTGGTGGCAATACTAAAAGTGACGTCTAATGTCAAGCTAAAGGTGGAGAAATATCGGTGCATCGATGTTTTTACAAATTTTGGGAACATCGATGTTTCTCCACCTCTATGTCAAGCAATCCTATAAAGATCAATCGTCATTTTTATATTCCACACCAGACTTTTATATTTAAAAGGTATTCGTTTAATTATTAAATCGTTTCCACTAAAGGCTGTAACTAGCTTTCGAGGACTAACGTTCTCTGTCAGCCTTAGATAGTAATAATCAATTCACTCCAAAAGAAGACATCCTGATTTTGGTCCAGTGCGCACAAGTTTGTTTGCTCCGTCTAACGAAGGCTGTTGGCACAGATTCTAAACCTTTTATTATGTTATGTTATTCAGCAGCAGCAGAAAAGATGCCTATCCTTCGCCGAAGCAACATACAGCAGCCAACTGGACCCGGTCAGGAGGAGCAAGACGGATCAGGCGACACGGCCCGCACCGAGCGGTCCAGCTCCACTTCCCCGTCGCTCTGGTCGCTTCATCGCCGCCACCAGAGTGGCGACCATAGGGCCTTGCGCCCCATTGTGCCGCCGGATGAGCCCACCATGGAAGACTACTTCCACCAGATGGCCGACCAATACAAGACCACCAGCGCCAGCAAACGCGTGAAGATCGGACTCTTTTTGGCCTACATCCTGGTGCCCAGCATCATGAAGCTGAACACGCACATAGAGTTCAACGAGCAGTGGCAGCAGATACAAATATTTAAGTTCCTAAAGTTCCGGCGCCTGACCCTGACCTTTGCGGGCAACGTGTGTGTGGCCCTGATCAGTTCCATCCTTAATGCAATAGTAGCATTCTACTGCGTGCTCAGCACTGCGCGTCCGAATCGCAACAACCTTGTGGTGCCCAGGGCTGATGGATCATTGGTGAAGATGCCCGTTAATCTTAATGCAATGTGGATCGGTATTTTGCCCTATGTGATAAGCTTGCTGGTCGGATTTGGCCGTTTCGCAAAGGAGACTTGGGTGGCCTATAAAGACCATGTGTTCACCATGGCCGACACCTTCAACACGCTGCGCGTTCTGATCTACTTAATCCACGCCATACAGCTCTTGTTCACAATCGAGCTAATGCTTTTGATGGTCCAGGGGCTATTTGGGTTCGTTCAAGCCGTTCGCATCTACATATTGACCGTCGGAAAAGATTATACCCACGTGGAGCAGTTCAACTGGGTAAGTGCTTATGGTTGGGCTTATCCCATTAAGGTATCCCTGCTTTTTCCAGTACACCTTGAAAATAATCAAATAATCAGGATCGAGCTGGCCATGTCTGTCCGTCCGTTTATCCGCCTACGCAATCTAGTCTCACAGTTTTAAAGCTATCTGGATAAAACTCTCCCATAAGGGTTTATATTGCATATATATAGTATATAATTCGGAACTGGCCGGATTAGACGACTATATTACATAGCTCCCATAGGAGCAATAGGAAACGGAGTTTATCAATTTATTTGACTATACTTTTAGACTTAATTTTATTTAAATCTGACAACAATATCATCGATTTACGCATAAAAATCTAAATATATTCGTTATATGGCATGGTTTGTTTAAGCAATATCTGATTTCGATCTTTGTTTTTTTATAAATTACCACCCACAGCGCAAGCAGAAGAACAGGCTGTGGTTTATCCCAACCTTAGCAACAAAGAGCATGTACCACACCCTCAAAAATCGCATCTTAGGATATTTGCCGCCTGAACAAGATTAAAATCAAGACACAACACAACATCAAGATCTGCCAGCTTGCCAATTCAATCACACTCCATCGAATGTCAGGTAAGTTCGGTTAAAAACAAAAGCCTTTAGAAACTACAAAGATTTGAAACAGACAGATTTTGAACATTTTTTTTAATTCGTATGTAGTTTACTCTCTTATAACAATGTACATTTAAGAAGATGTACCTAATTCTAAGCTCAAGCTTGGTTTTAATACCAAGCCCAACTCCGTGTGAACTTTCTTCTTGGAATATTTATTAAATCAAAGTAAAAGATTCTTAAAACTTACCGCTCGTTACTCCCGCTTTTCGAATTTTTGATTTTGATGTTGCTGCTTGTCTTGAATCGATCTTTAGTTCGACCGTTTGGGTTTGTGGTTGGATTTATAGTCGATCTGAGCACGATCAGATTTGATGGTTTTATAAAGTTTATATCAAAGCTGTCAATTTTTTCATTGACACGTTTTCTTTGCAAAAGCGCAAAATGTTGGTGGCTGTAAGAAAGATGCAAATATAATTTATTGTAGTTTTTTCGATTTTAATTTTATTTGTTATTTTAAATATTTATAAATATTTGGAAAGTGCTCAGAACTTGTTGGTTGCTGTCTTGACTTGGAATTAAGCAAGTGCCGCAACCAGCAGCGCCATCTATGTGTTTTTTATCAAACACTGGTGGCGCCAGCTAAAATTTTAGTACAGTACGGCTTATGTTAGTTAACATAGTTGATGTAATTTTGGGAATGTAGAAATGTAAAAAACATGTATAACATTACAATGTAGGGACGTTTTGTTAGATTTTACGCGTATTTAAAACTTAGGGGGAAAAACTGGATTTCTTAGCAGTTTCGCTAAATTGTGTCAATCGGTTTCATTAACCCCAACGATATACATATGTATATATGTTTATAGATATATGTGCAGAGACAGAAAGGTCAACAAAGTACGTTTCATGGGCGCACCACACATGCAATTCTGTTTTCTTCTTTTTTGTTTTGATGTGGTGTTCGAGTTTGAGGATTTGTTGTGATTTATTATTTTTTTACTTGTATTTTTGGAATTCAGCTCGATAAAGGTATAGGGTATAAATATATATTTTTTGGATTTTCCTTATAAAGTTTTGATAAGAAGTTTAGAGGTTTTTAAAAAACTTGTTTTAACTTTGTTTGCTTTGTTTATGCTTGCTTTCTCCTAGACGAGGGATGTCCCTCATTGTTGTTATTACAACGCCCACTTTGACAACCTAAGCACCTGCTTTCTCCTCCCCACGACAAACTCGGGTCATTGCTTGGAATTCTATCTCCAAGTGTCTTCGTCATTCCTTTAGTACAGTTCACTCTCTCAATGGTAATAACCTAAAAACAACTTTCTCTAATTAACACTAAAAAAAAAAATGCAAAAATCGTAATGTGCTAAGATCATTTACAATAAATGTTGCTTTAGCAAAAGCCTACGTTTGAATGACCAATCGCTACAGTCATCACCCGAGGCTGCTACGTGTTCACTATACCGGGCACCCACTTCACCTCTGTTGCAACTGCAAAAATGCGGAAGAATATGTAACGCAATGCAGAGGGGCTAGGCATCACTAGAAATACGAAACGAAGAGGAATAAATGGAGAACGAAGAAGAGTCAGTGGCAAAAAGAAAACAAAATTAACTGCAAAGTCTGGCGATCGCAGACAGCTAGAAAAATAATTTAAGAAGAAAGAGGGACTACAACTCCAAAGATTTGCCACTAAAAGATTTTTAAGAATAACGAAAAGTTTTAAATTTCGCTAAAAACTAAAATTTTAAACCACAATATTTATAGTTTTAAGGCGAAGGTACATGTAGGGATCTCTCGTATTTATGTCAAGCAAAATTAATCTAATTGTCTGTCGACAACAACTATTTGTAATTCTTGGATTTCTAAAAAAAGATACTTAGTCTTTCCTATGACTTTTCTATGTAGCTTAAGCTACAAGGTCTACTCTGGGAGTTAATTGGATTGAAAAATTGTAACTTCTACTCTACTTAATTTATATATTTTCGAAATGTCATTGGATTTTTTCAATGAACCCCAATAGCTCGATGGCGTAACCCTGTTGCAAGCCCCAACCCCAAAGGCAGGTGCAACAACAGTTGGGCGAGGGCAGGTTCATCCTGTGGGATATACCCGCCACCCTCGCCCTGTCCCATACAAAAAACCCCTAAAACGAGACGGAAAATAAACGGCAAAACAAAAATGTAAAGGCAAAGGCGCAAAGGCAACCGGGCGCATGCAAATAAAAATAGATTTTTCTCGGTATATAGGATAACGACCACCAACGACCCCGAAGTTGGAACGCCGGCGTCGGACGGTGACGTCGGACGCCAATGCTCTCGGGCAACGACCGGCAAAAAACAAACGCAAACGCATCCAAAGTTTGCCTACCCCCAAGCAGAAGCTGCTTCTCCAATCGCTCCCCATCTGCCTGTCTCTATCTCGTTCTACTTCCCTATAGCCCTCTCGTTCTGTTTTTGCCCGTCATTAGGGTGGACCTGTGTGGCGAATAGCTATTTAAGAATTGAATCTTTTATTTTAAATTTACCTCTACTTTGTCGGAATTGTTTTTAAAATACGGAATATGGAAAATATTTTTTTTTGCCAACTCCAAAAAACAAACCCTGACAAAATATTCAATGCTAATAAGTAGACTTGCCTGACGCACTTGATTTATTAAATGGGTATTTCAAAACATTTAAATAATCGAGAATAGTTTTAGACCAAAAAGACCACCCTAATGTTCACCTTCCCTTCTTCCGTGTGTTTGTCGAAGAGAGAATTCTCTCTTTAGGTCCTACACTCACACATACAGACACACAGGCACGCAAGACACGTATTACGTATACGTAGGGGTTGCTGACCTCTTCTCAGGGTCGCCGAAGGTTGTTGAACTCGCTGTCTGTCTCGCTCGCTCCCGTTTGGGACCGGCCCTTGTCTGTTGACGAGGGTCTCTGTGCTGTGTGCTCCCTATTTACCCCGCATGCCCCTTACACCCCCTTTACCCCTGCACACTTTTTGCGGCCTGAAATGTGTGCTGGTCGTTGGCCTTTCCTTCCGCGCCCTCGTCGCCCCCTTTGTCGCTCCTTCGTGACGTAATGTGGCAACAGGGCATTCCCGATTGCCGCTGTGCTTCCTTTTCCTTCGGCAACAACCCCCCAGCCCCTCCTCCCTCCTTCTCCATTGTTGCCGCAGTCTTTTGTATTCCCATTTATTCGTTTTTTATTTAGGGGAAGCGAAATGTAGGGCTGCTGCCGATGCACTCTGCATAGTTCAACATTGTCTGAGGTTAGGGTTGAATGCTCGACGGGTCCGGGTCCGGGTCCGGGTCCGGGTTCGAGTCCGAGTCCAGGTCTGCTCTGCTCTGCTCTGCTCTGCTTTGCTCCGCTCTTTTCTGGTCCCGAGCCAATCCAATGCAAACTAAATATTACGGATCCCAAGCTCAGCCTTTTTCCACGCTTGGGATACTCCTTGTATTGGTATTTTTCGTTTGTCAAAACTTGGTTTTTAAATACATTCAGTTTAAACATTATCGTTTGACAGGACCAAAAGCAATACAGTTGAACTTTCGCCCAAAAATGTAGGATTCAATAAAAAAACATTTAATACCATGTAGAGATGCAAAAGTATCAGTTTGTATTAAGCCCCAAAATAATAGTTTTAGAATTATGTAGGATTATTTAAGATTAGGTTCTAAAGTGTTGGCTCACTAAGTCGAATACCTTTTTTGAGTAGTTCCAATATGCAAACAAAATATGTTTATTTCACAATTTTTAGCTAAATGATTTATACAACAGAGCTTACTATTGAGTTGTTTCTTTATTTTTACATCCCAGTATAAGTATTTCCCAAATGTTTAGGGCTGATTTTGAAAAATACTATTTATAGGGCTCACTAAGTCGAATACGATTTATTTGATTTTAGATAGTACCAATTATGCAAAAATCATGTTTTCTTGACAATTTTTGGGAGAGAGTTTACTTTTGAATTGATTCTATACCGTTTGCGGAAGAACTTAAATTAGGTAATGCCCAGCTCAATTTGCCTGTTCGTAATCTTTTGAATTTCACACTAGCCAACAGCAACTTTTTGTATCTGATTCCTCTAGGCCTTTAACACTTCTTGTCCTGCTCCTCCCCCTTCTCTTTCTTCCGCCCCCTTCCGCCTCCCTTGTTCCTCATATTTTCTTCACTTTTTGCTGTCGTCTGGTTTATCAGTCGGATGGTTGGCGCGTGGTTAGCTTTTATCGGTCATTCGCCTTCTTAACCAAGTGTGGGAGAGGCAGAGTAGATGAAGAGAATGGGAGAGAATGAGAGAATAAGAAGAAGATAGCAGTGTAGGAAGGGGGGTTAAGGAGGAGTGGGCGGAGAATCTAGGAGAGTGCGTAGTGGTCAGCAATGCGTCACAATCAATCACACGCAGAGCGAAAGGGAGAGAAAACAGGGGAAAGAGAGTGCGGTTGGAGGAGAAGTGGGGAAAGGGCGACCGAGCGGGGCAAGAGGAGGGATAATAAGAAGGAAAAAGCCATGACCGTGAAGTTTAACGCCCTCCGGACAATGTTAACGTCGGCGTCGATGCTGGCAGCGCTGCCCACAGTCCACAATCTGCAAGATACATTCCACAGCGCCACCTTTCCCGATCCGCTTTTCAATTTAAGTTCCACGCGCAAATATACAGAAACGCTAGTGCGTTAAATATTTCCTTAATTATACTGACATTTTAAACTTCTCGCATCCCGCTTTTATACTTAAAAAATATGGCTTTGCAGAAAAACGACATAAAAGCCGCACTTTAAAGCCGATAACTTTTCTAACAGAAATCATTTTTCGCAAAATCATACCTCGAAAGGTTATTAGTTTAAATCTCTAAATTTTTCAAGATTTGTGATTTAGATATCTTAAAGTACGACCTTAAACGTTTATCGGTCAATTTGGATGGATTTTCTTGAAATTTTAGTGATGCACCTCCTTTCATTTTTTTCAAAAGGTGAAAAATTACTTGAAAACAGCACTGCTAATCCATTACCTTTTCATAAAGTAATTCAATTTAAAAAAAAAGAAACATCTCTAAACATTCAGAGCGGCATCAATCTCTAAAAATCTTTGTATTTTTGGATCGTTTCTTAACACCTTTCAAATTAATTAAAATAAAATTAGAAAATTTTAAAATTTCTAGACGGCTTTCGGAATTATAATTCACTTCTCGGATTCTGGTGGTTTGTTGTGCCTGCTGACGAAAAGGGCGAAATTAAGCGCTCTTTTTTGACGTGCCACCCCCGCACTTCCCCCACTCCTTCGTCTTTGTATGTGTCGTCGGCAGAGGCAGCGACGTTGTCGTTTTTGTGGTTTGACATTGAACTCGAAATTGATGCTCCGCTCCGCAAATGCGTAGGCCAATCCGCCTCTCTTGGCCAACACCACCCACTCGCTAGCCCTCTCGCTCTAGCCAGTTCCAGCTTATTAGCCATTTCGCTTTGCCACCTTTTTTCCGTTTTTTTTTTTTTTGGCTTTTGGTTCAGTGAACTTTCGCATAGAAAGCGCACAACAGAAATCTCTTTTTTTTTGGCTTTGACTTTCAAGCTTACCGAAATATTGGTGGTTGTGTGTTTTTTTTGTTTGCGAGATAGTGTGGAAAATAAAGTGTGTGAGTATGCTAACAATTAGCAAGTGACAAAAGACTAGAAAACGTTTTTTAAACAGTGATAAGCAATAAAAAAATACTGAAAATGGAACACAATTTGTAGTTCTCACTACTTAATTCTTTGAAAATTATATTTATTTTATATAATTCCGACAGGATTACTGATATACTTCCATATTCTTATAGTAACATATTAGTATTTTTACATAAAGAAAAATGTTGAAATAATTTTTTAATAGTTTAATAACGTTTATTTTAATAAATGGATATTGATAATTATGTTTTTCTCTTTACAGATCATAATCGATGGATTCTTTGGCATATTAAACACGGCGATAGATAACAATCATTATATTAATTCCAGGACAACAAATTTACTCAATGGATATTGATAAATTTTTTTTCCCTACAACCATTACAAATAATATTTCAAAATTATGTGCGTCAAATTGCAATGAAATTGTACAAATTACATAATGGCTTGCAACGTTATTATAAAGGCTATTCCCACATTTTGTATTATATTTTTAACAAATTTGAAAATAGGAAAGAAAAATTCTGACGGTGTTTTTTGGTTTTTAACTGAATAATTTTTTAATTTTATCTATATTTTGTTTTTTTTTCAGAATCTTTTTCAGAATAAAAAAATTTGACCCATCCACCTAGCAACCTTTTTTTTGTTGCTGAAACATTAATCAGAGCCTTCCAATTACATATTTACATACACATGATTATATGTTCACAAATACATATATCATGAGATTTTTTATTGGGTAGGAAATATAAATAATGCAAAAGACTGAGAAAAATGTTGATGAAATCGAGTAGTCATAAGTCATAACCAGCGAACTAACGGAATCGGTGCGTGTACATTTAAAGTTTTTTGTTTTTTTTTTATTCTCCAATATGCTCCATATACATATTCAAAGAAGCGAATTAAGTTCATAAGCGACTAAAGAAAAGACCAACAGCAACAACAATGGCACAGCTCAAGAGCGTCAACAACAGCAAAAACAGCGACGACCAATTTTATGAAAGTCACAGTCAAGGTCAACATGCGTGCAAAGTGCGAGCGGGACAGCACGAGTGCTGGCAAAAAGAAAGAACCGCGGATCTTTGTTGTTAATGTGTATGGAAGGTTGGGGTGGACCTAGGGCGGTATGAAATACATAACGTTGGATAATTTTAACTTTGCAATCCACGGGGCGTATGAGTAATTTTTAAAGCCGATTAGCCTATTTCTGCAGAGCCAAAGCTTATATTTTGAACTTCTATACCAAATTTGGCTTCATTTTTGAATATGGATATTTTACATAGCATCAGTGTAAAAAAAATTTAATTTTTCAAATATAAAAGTTTTAATTGACCAGCTCAACCTTAAAATCTGTAATTACATCAATTTGAATTCATATTTAGGTATAAAATAAAGATTTTGGCAATTATTTCCACAGCAACAGGTGTCAGTGAGTTGTATTATAATTCCCTCGATACAGATCCCATCCGGTCCACCCCATGGAACATATTTTCGCTTTGCTTTCTATCTATGATAAGCACACAAAGAATTTCTTATTCGCACGAATGCGAAAGAAAGTGTGTGTGCTGGTGTGAGAGTGTGGGAGCGGTAGCGATCAACAAGGAAGTGCACGAAAATCGAAGTAGCCAACGAAAGGTAAAAAGCAACAATCGCAGGTTAAAAACGGAGCCAAAAACAGGCAAACAAACGAAATCAAATCAAAAGTAATAAAAAAAATGACTCACTTGATCCCCACGGCACACCAACACTAAGAGAGGCGCAAACGCACACAGCGCGCGCACACACAGATACAAAATGGCTAGGTCGGTCGTTCAACCTGAATTCAAGAGAGCGAGTAAGAGAGAGATTTTATATTTTTTTTTTGCTCTTTTTCTGTTTTGAACCGGCTTTTTTTTCGTTTCTCTCGCTCTTTATTTCATAACGCTTCTGGTTTCAGTTTTCGTTGTTGTTGTTGTTTAGGGTTTAATGACATTGCCGGTTCATCTTCGTCGTTGTTTTTTTTTCCTTTCCTTTCCTCCTCTTCTCTCTTTATATTTTTATTTTTATTCGTATTCGTTGTCGTAGTTGTTCTTTGCGGCTTGTTTATTTATTCTTGTAAGGCAAATAAAACTACTACAGAAAGAGCGACAACAACAACAGCAGCAACACTTAATTCTACCGACTGTACAGTAAAAACAAATGTAGAAATAACTGGCATTTACCGAAAGAAAGCTTAAAAATCCCACCACACTTACCCCGAAAGACAACAACATGTTCAACCGTATTGTAACCATTTCAATTTTTTGTAGCTGCCTTTTCGTTAATCTAAATATTTTTTAATATTATTTAAGGTGGTTGACTAACATAATCGAAAACGCAATTGTCGTGTGTGTGAAATGTGCAACAATAACAAAAACAATAAGAATTGCTGCAACTTTCTGCTCTGCTGTATTTTTACTTTTCAGTTGCTGTTGCGTTTGTTGTTGTTGCCTGCCCCCGTCGACGCTGCTTTCCTTCCTCTTTTTGCTTTTGCCTTTTGCCTTTTCCTTTTTTGATTTTGTTTCTGCTTTTGTTTTAGCGCGCTCACAAATGTGTGTTAGTTGGCGGTCATTCACACTGAACGTGCCCTTTTTGTTGTTGTTGTTGTTTTTTCTTTTGGTTCGTTTCGTTGTGCGCGCTCTCCGTGTGTGTGAGTTGTGTATGTGATTGAGTGCGTGAGAGTATCTGTGTGTGGAGCAACTTCAACTTAAACTTGACGTTTAACATTTTTGAATCTTTTTTTCATATATTTTTCCAAATCTTTGTCGTATACGTATCTTTTTCACCACATATACAAGTGAGAGTGAGAAGCAAGATATTTTTACATGTTTTTTTTTTGTTATATGCACTGCAATTTGCATTTGAGCTGGATTTGACGTCACGTATTACGCAATTCCGCAAAAACGACTAATTTAACCATATCTGCTTAAAAATTATCGAGCAAAAGAGACAGCAAACGAAGGGGGAAAGCATAGGCGAAAGCACAAAAACCAACAAACACAAGGGGGCGGATTGGTAATGGAAGTAGTGTAAAAGTAAAAGGTCATTGAACGAACATTGTACCTATTTCTGGTATTTACACACACATTCCCATTACCACATTGATGTTCTTGTGTATAGGTGTTGGTGTGTGGGCGAATTGTTATTACTATTCGCCAGTTACAAAAAATACATACACAAAGCGAACAAATTAAAAGAGGAATCCGAACATCCTATACCAAAGTTTCAAATAACATTTACCTTATAAACAGGGTATTACAAATGTCCCTTTCTCTCGAAGCTGTTAGGTATCTTTCTCATTACAGCCCTTTAATTTCCAAAAATTATTAAATGTTTGGGTGTACAAACAAGTTTAAACATTTGTTCCGGAATGTGGGAAAATTTAAAAAGTATTTTTAGCTGAAGCCGATGTTTTCCTCTTCAATCCCTATTTTCACAGCTAATAAAACCTCTTGGCTGGAAAAGGGCAAACTGAGTAATGGCTTTTTATATTCCGTACTCGAACAAGTCAACAACCGAGTGGAGAAATTGGGGAAATAAAGAGGAAGTGAAATGGTGAAATGGTTAAATGGCCGAAAGCTAAAAAGCCAGCGACGAAAGATCGCATCAATCACACCAAATCGGATCGGATGGAATTGAATCTCGGCAGATACGTATCTCGCATTCTCCGGCGTTGCATTAGTCCAGGACTTATCTGACGGATCATCATAAGTGTGAGATCTTCAAGTCGTCAGTCCAAAGGCCGCAATGTGACCATACCATTTCTTCTGCTGGCGAAAGCGGCCAAAATTGCTAAAGTTGCTAAAACGTCGAAGCGAAAAAAGAGCGAGGTGTTCAATTGTGACCCCGAACAATGTGATTCATCGGGGTATTGGGAAAGTGCAATCCACGCGGAAGTCAATTTTAAATTCCAGAGAACACACGCTCAAGGCGTTTCGTAACTTTTGAATGACGCCAGTTTAAATTCGATTATATTTCTGGACAGAGAAAGTTCTGAAACCAATATTAAACAAGGAAGCATATACCCTTGCAGCTTTTTTAAAAATTAAATTTGATTTGCAGCTCAATTATTCGATAGTTCTTGTAATAGCTTTACGATATCGTTTTCCAATCGTTTCGAAGAACTAAAAAAAAAAATTAAAAAACAGCAAAGTTATAAATTTATTTCATTTATTTTTCCGATTGTTCCTATGGGAGATCTATGCTATAGTCGTCCGGTCCGGCTCGTTCCGACTTATGTACTAACTGCAATAGAAAGATAACTTTTGGGAAAGTTTCATGCAGATAGCTTTAAAACTGAGAGACTAGTTTGCGTAGAAACGGACGGACAGACGGACGGGCAGACGAACATGGCTAGATCGACTCTCCTAGTGATGCTCATCAAGAATATATATACTTTATAGGGTCGGAAATGTCTCCTTCACTGCGTTGCAAACTTCTGACTGAAATCCTCTGCAAGTATAAAAAAAAGGTTACGAATGTCCAACAAATTACTTCATTTAATGGACAAATTTTCTAAGTATACTTTGTATACTAGAAGGAGAGAATAAAATTTAAAGAATGTTAATGTGTTTCTAAACTGCAAATATATTGGGATCAGTATATTTCGATTTCGGGGCTTTAAGTTTATTAGAAGGTCAAGAAATCTAACATACGAAATTGAAAGGAAATTAAAACATTGATTTCCAAAAAAGAATTTCGAAATGTTTCAAAATATTCCCCAATGGGAGAGGGCGAGCTGATGAATAAGAAAGCAATCAAATCCAACAGCACATAATTAGTAAACATGACTAAGGGATAGGAAAGCGCGGGACAATGAGGAGGAAATGAGGAGAGAGTCGATAGAGAGACAATAAGAACTTTATCGAGGCACTGACCCTTGGGTGATTTATACATTACGTATGTATGCATGGGTAGTACTGACTTCACGAACACTCCTTCTCTTTTGCTCCCCTATTTCTCCCACTCCTGTCCCTTTCTTCCTGTCTCCTACCCGTCACTATGCATAATATTGTCACAGCTATCAAATGGCAAGAAGAGCAAGTAAAACGACAAACTACAGATAAGGAAAATTCCTCCTTATTCCTTTCAACTTAACCCGAGTTTCGATAGGAATCAAGCAACTGTGAACCAAGTGGTATGTGGCACAGGGAACGAAACGTGGCGAAGAAAGCGGAACGAATCGGAACGCTTGTGATAAGCATGTTTACGTATGGAGTTCTCAGGTGCATACCCACCTTATCCCAAGGGAGTTATTGTATAGGCGCTAAATAAACTCCAAGTTCGTTGGCATTGATTAAAATGCAAGGAGAAACAAAATGAAATCACACAAATCGAAACAAAATGAAGTGAATCAAAAGCGACAACCACAAAAGGTTGTAACGCTAACAATATACAACAAAAGTTTTATAAAAAGAAAAGTTAGAGCTAGTTTCCTTTGAAAATTGTTGTACAAAAACT